CGTCCAGTTATAGATGATACATTCCCAATATTTTCTGTTTTCTCAACACAGTTTAGCAATGTTATTGTAAACAGCTTAATAGAAGATAATATAAGAAACATTAAATTTTTCATATGTGTATTCAAAGGAGTGTTTTCTTTTATCTGGTGGAGATATTGGTTCTGGGAATTAAAACCTGACCTTGTGGATGAGCAGCCAGTGTTCTAAATACTAAGCTTTCTAGTCCACATGAATATGTGATTAATAGTAATAAGTGTGATTGGGTGATCTAACTTCATCTTTATCTCAGCTCTGATGTTGCAGAATAAATACATGATTTATTTTATCAAAAACTAACTGAGACCTGGTGCTTATGAAATTCTCCAGGTTTACATCTCCAAAAATGAGGCAAAAGTACAAAATAAGTGATCAACAAAGAAACTGACCATAAAAGTCTTTAAGAAATGGTTGACTAACCAAAGCCACAAGAGTGGATTTCTCTCCCATATGGTAAATAGGCAACAAGGGGAGCCCACAAGCTAATATGTGAGAAGTACCCCTGCTTGATTTTATACATCCTGTGAGGATAGAACACAAACTTGCAGGCATGAAGTCTGACTTGTCTGAATGGGCTCATATTCTGCTTCCCTGATACCTGTAGAGCTCTCAGTTGTGTGCAGATCTCTTGCCTTCTATCCAAACCAGTTATGACCCAAGGATGTATTAATTACCTTATGTCTTCACCACTGTTCCAAATAGTTTCAGGCAGGTATCATCTCAATAGTTTTCTGTCCAAAACAGCATGTTCAATTCTGAAAACATAACACACAACAAACAAAAATTGACTCGGCAGAATTTATTCAAATGTTTGTACATACTTAATTCAAACATACTTAATAGAAAGAAGAATGGGAAAAAAACTGGGAAAAAGAGGGAAATGGATACAATGTAATTTAAATAAAATGTATAACAATAAATGTTAAATAAAAATGTGAAAATGTTTGTATATACTTAATTCACACATACTTAACAGAAAGAAGAATGGAAAAAAAAACTGGGAAAAAGAGGGATATATTACTATGAACACTGGTTCCTCTCAGTCTCCTGTAACTTCAGTTCCAAGTGAACTTATTCCCTCTTCCTGCCTCTGCAGGTAATTGTTGCATTGGAAAGTGATTATATCACTATGAACACTGGTTCCTCTCAATCTCCTGTTACTTCAGTTCCAAGCGAACTTATTCCCTCTTCCTGCCTCTGCAGGTATTGCACACATCCAAAACTTAGTAAGCACACATATACATGAACCAAAGATTGAAAATAAAATTCTTTCTGGTCATTCATAGAAGCAGATGTGGCCTTCCTTTGAGCGAGCTTGCTCAGAGGAAAAGTATCCATAAACTGAGGAAAGAATAGCTCAGAATAGCTATTCATTTAAGACTATCAGACAGAGTGTGCATAAGTGTTTCCCATTTTTTTAAATTGATTTCAATGTGCTTTTATGTATGAGGATTGTGGCACTGACATATAATTTAATGTATCTTTTACAGCATGTATCATAGTCTATTATAATACATTTTGCTTCATGATATATTTATATTTAGATCATAAGGCATGATCTGAAAGATAGTTTTGCACTGTAAATCTCCATGAGCCAAAATGGTTAGATTTACAATCTTCTATCCCTATTTAAATTTTTCAGAGCATAACCTCAGGCCAAAGCTAAATGAGACTTAAGGATGGTAGATGTTAGTATTCAGCTGTCTGTACTGGCCTGTCGTTGGGGTTCTGACAGGAACAGCTGCAGCCACTAAGAGGACCACTTCTGTATTTTCACTATGTTCTACTTTAAAAGTTCTCCACCCTGACATCCATAGATATATACTGAACTGAACTCTGGAACTTAATTGAAGAGAGGGAGGAATGAAGATCAAAGGGTTCTGTGCCAGGCTGTTGAATCCCACAGAATCATCTGGCCTGTACAAAGGGGAGCACATGGACCCCAGATCTGTCTGTCTGGCCATCACGAGACTGATCCAGACCCCTGAACATGAATGTCAATTAGGAGGCCTCTGCATTCTAGGGGCCCCTGGTAGTGGATTAGGATTTTTCCCTGGTGTAACAAGGGACTTGGAGAGCCCATCACACATGAAGGTATGCACTCTCGGCCTGGACACATGGGGGGCTAGGCTCATCCCAGGATGACATGTTGGAAATTGGGGAGCCCCCATCGAGGTTCCTACCCTGCCTGGGGAGTGGAAGGTGGATAGACTGGGGGGTAGTTG